GGCCCATCCAGGCACACTTGCCCCTCCGCAGCGCCCACCGTGTCGCTTCCGGAACTCCGCTCGCTCCTGGCCGCCGGCCGGGCACGGCTCATCGACGTGAGATCTCGGGAGGAGGCGGCCGAGGGCACCATCGCCGGGGCGCTCAACATCCCGAGTATGGGGTTGGGGGGTGGGCCCGCGTGCTAGATCCAGGTCACAGCATCTGCGCCCCGCCCCCCGCTTCCCCAGGGAGGGGCTGGGTGGGGGCGGGGCCGGGCGCGGAGCCCGCCCTTCCGGCCTGAGGGGGGACAGGAGGTGGGCAGAGGCGGCCCCGCTTCTCTGGGCCCGAGTCCTGTGCTGCGTGGCGGCCTCACCGCCCTCCTTGCTCAGGAGGCGGCCCCAGGTCCCCCGTAGGTTTGCTGACTCTCCGCGCGGGTGGGCTGTGTCCTGAGGCTGGAGGTGGCGGCCACCTCATGTTGTGTTGGGGCCCCCTGGAGATTGGTTCGACCACCGGGACCCAGTCCTTTCAGGCCCAACCTCATGAGGTTGCGGACCTGCCGGCTCTCCGTCCGCCCTCCCGACCCTTTCCCCCAGTGTCTGAGCGGGAGAGCGCCCCGCAGATGGAGCCCGCAGCTTTCCGGGCAGCGTACGCCGCCGAGAAGCGGAAGCTGGAGGATGAGAATCTCATTTTCTTCTGTCAGATGAGCAAGCGGGGCTCGCAGGCCACGCAGCTAGCCCGGAGCCTCGGATACCGAGGGTATAGGGCAGGCGCGCCGCCGGCTGGGGAGCAGCTGGGGACCGCGCGGCCTGCCAAGCCCTGCCCAGCCCTGCCCTCATGCCTGTCCTGCGGGGCACGCAACTACGCGGGGGCCTATAAAGAATGGTTCCAGAAATGGGGCTTCCATCCCCCAGAGCCAACTTAACTAAGGGTGATGAGTGGGCAGACATGTTGGGCTGCACAACGCCTCATAGTGCTGTGCACGCAAACGCTTCAAATAAAGAGCACTGGAGACATTTGTCAGATGCGTTGAAAACAGTTCTAATCTTAATTTAGACCTCAGTTCAGCCCTGGGTCCTTCTCCTTCCAGAGTTCATCTACTCCCCCACCCGCACACACTAAAACAAAATTTCAGCCATGTCCTGAGACAATTCTAGAACAAGTGTTTTCAGTCCAGGATGCGTCAAAATCACCTGGCAGCTCGGGAAGAGAAATCTGCGGCCCTGGAGGCGGGACCTGGGCAACCACTAGTGAAGCCCCTTGAGCCTGAAAACTGTAGTCGGGAGCCAGAGCCACTGCCCTAGACTAGAGGTCAGCAGAGCGGCCCCACTGGGCCTGGCTGCCATGACCGCTCATGTACATACCGTCTGGCTGCTTTTGTGCAAAAATGGCAGAATAGTTGTAACAGACTATATGTCCTTCAAAACTTACTATCTCTCGGCCCCTTTCGCATCGATTATATCCCTCGTCCCTTTCCAGGCAACCGTTTTCCATCTTCCGCTACCATCCGCTCGTTTTCTAGCTTCCTTCCTGGCTTCCAACCTATGTTGTACTTTCTTCAGTTTAGCTGATGGGGTGAGAAAGGATCCTGGATGTAAACGAGCTGGCCCAGCACATGGCCCAGCATTCTGGCTTGGTCGCTGTGAAGACTACATGCCTCCTCTTCCCCCATCGTGTTAGGTTTGTAACCTCGATGGGCTGTTCCAACTCATTACCTCGCCCTTTAAGTTCTCATTTCCTTTCCTCACAGCTAGCGATTTCAGCGGGTGAGGCCAAAGAGCCATTTTACCAGCTCCATGTCCTTCTCCCCGCTCAGCCGGACTCTCCAAACTAATTCGACTCCTCCACCCTTTCTCTGCCCTGGGTTCCTGCCTGTGTCATCACAGCCGCTAAAGCACTGCTGTTGTTTGTACCCTCTGATCGGTCATGAGCTCCTTACCTCCAGGGCCTCCAGCACGTGCTCCTTGGGCCTGACCAGCCTCTCAACTTTCAGAGTCTTCTAATATCAGCCTTTCTGAACACATCACAGCCCGAGCAATCTTAAAATAACATTTTTATCTTATCAGAGTTGATAATTCACAGTAAGTCCTTGTTGCCGAGTGACTCAAGCACATGCCTGGGCCCGGCCTACTGAGCAATCTGTAGGCTGGATCTGGCAGCACCCTGCTTCTCCAAACTTGCCTTTCAGCGCCTGCTCCCATCAGGCTGGTTTATTTAGTGGCCTAAGTAGACCACGCCTTCCTGACCCTGGCCTTTGCTCACCATTTCCCTTCTCTGGGAAGCTTCCAGTCTCTTAGGAACCACTCTGAATTTCACAAGAATTAAAAGAATGTATTGGCAGGACACCGGCTGCCCTCGCCCAGAGGGCTTTTAGGCTGAAGGAAAAGGGAGAATAATCACCAGCTAAAATCATATAACTGAATTTCACGAAGGACATGAGAGAACGGTGGACGCGGTGCACACCTGTCATGGCACTTATCACACTGCATCACCGTTTGCCTGGCTCTCCCCTTCAGACCGAGCCCTTCGAGGGGAGAGACTGTTCATTTTTGTTTGGCCAATTAAACGAGAACCCAGCCTATAGGAGGTACTCAATAGACGTTGAATTTGTATTGAGGGCTTTAGTAATTCCCAGGGGAAAAAATGCAAAGGGGGAAAGTTGGGAGTAATGCAGACGTAGCTTGTTAGGTAAAGAGCGAAGCCTGTGAATCAGAGTTCGGAGTCCCTGTTCTGACTTAGCGCTACTTAGTGGCCACTGCAAGTTACTTCTTAACTATTCCAATTCTCACTTTTCTTACCTGTAAAATGGGAGTTAAAAGACTTATCTCTTTGGATAGGCGTGAAGGTTTACTGGGATAATATATGTAAAGCATCTCCTACAGAAAACATGTGGATTTAGAGATGTATATATGAGCATGAGTAATGAACACAAGAAGGTAAATAAAATGGCATAGATATTTTGAAACGATGAAAGGGATTTGTGACAGGCAATGGAAAAGTATGTCTTATTAAAAAGAAAATATATTTAATAGAAGGGTCAGACACAAGTGTGCAGCTCGATGAACTTTTACAAAGCGGCCATACTCATTTAACCATCTCTCCGGTCAGAACATACACCATATGAATTGAATCATTTAAACTCTACTGAGAGTTGCTTTATTGCCAAATGTATGGTCAATTGTTGTAATTGTTCTATGAACACTTAAAAAGGGTATATTCTGCAGTTTGCGAGTACAGCGTTCTATATATGTCAATTATATGTTGTTCAAATCTATAGCTCTATAGAATTTTTTTTTGTCTGCTTGATCTATCAGTTGCTTACAGAGGTATGTTTAAATCTGTCACTATGATTCAGATGTCTATTTGTCCTCTTAAGTCTGTCACTTTTATTTTATATATTTGGAGACTATGTTATTGGACTACAAATTTGTAACAGTTATGCTTCCTCCTGAATGGATCCTTTTATCATATTATATCCCTCTTTATCTCTGGTGAGGCTTCCTGCCTCAAAGTCTGTTTTGTCTGATATTAATACAACCGCACCAGCTTTATTTTGGTTAGTGTTACTGTGGGAGTAACAGACCATGTCTTCTGGAATTCATATGAACCAAGGAAGAAAAACTAAGCACAACTACACAATAAGTGGGCTATAGAAAAGCAGATTTTTAAAATTAAAGGAAAACATAGGTTAGGCCAGAGACTCTAAAGAGAATTTGAGTTAAGGAAGTTAAGAGTCCTCAGAAACTAGACTTGACGTATTTCCCAGTGGGAAACACTTCCAGTTCATTCAGTTAGTATTCCCATTCCTAATTGTATGCTTCAGCCTATCGAGTCCTCCATTTAACTGATCGTACCAAACATCCTCCAGCCACTGCCCCTTTTCTCTCAGAAAAGTCTCTGTTGAACTGTCTATAGTCACAGCCTTTGTCTACTCCATACAGGTTTTATTGCCCACCCCACTGAAACTTCTTTCAAAGTAACTGACAAACAATGCAGTTAGGTGCTCCTGGGGAGGGTGTGAGCCTTTGGCATAGGTGCCTCTCTTCAGTGGGAACAATTCACGAGGAGGCCAGCGGTGGGGGGTGGGGGGTGGGGGGCGGAAAATCATTCCTTCCTGAAAGGGAGTCTGGGTAGCACATCACAGCATCCAGTGCAGTATGTTTGTACGTGCACAAAAACCTACATTTCAAAAAGGATAAAAGAATTTTAAAAAGTATCTCAGGGCTAGGGAAACGTTGAATACCATAGTCAGATGAGTGAGGAATGAATGTCAGTGTTTGGACTCGGATTGCAAATTTGGATTTGGTATCCCTGGAGGCTAAAGTAAAATAACTAACAGGATCAGTTACAAAATTCAAGGTATCCATAAGACAAACATGTGGCAGAGGCACGGCATTTCTCAACAGGAACATCCGGGAACATCAATAACTAGAGTATTATTGTACTGTGCTAGCTTGGAAAGAGGTTGATTCAGAATTCTGTTTTCAACTCCTCCCTTGTTCAATATTTTTATTAACCTATCACAGTATGTCATAGAAAGTGTGTTTATGAAACTTGCATATAACACAAATTCAGGTGCAGCTGCTAATATATTGGGTGACGGAATCAAGATTTATGTTAAATAATCTCAGAATTTTCTACTTTACAGGAAAACTCACCAGTCTGTAGTTTACAAAATCTGTTCTTTTTGGAAAAAAAAAAAAAAAGACTGCAGAAAATAAATGTCAATGACAACAAAATTTAAAAATGTATTATTTAATTAAGCAACTTTATGGGAAAAGGAACCTGGTGAAAGTCAAATTATTTGCGAGCTCCTAAATTACTTTCATGCTTTGCAAATGGATACACAATGGTTTATATAGAAATAATGGATGCATATGATTTGCATTTATTTTTTTCATTTAATATTAACCGTTAACATTATTTCACATTTATGTTTATGTATATTAGGATTTCATTTTCAAAACAAAAAATATGGAGTCAAATAGGGATAAAGGCAAAGCGAACTTTGATTAAGAAACATCTGCACAAGTATAGGATGTGACGTGATTTAATACTAGTCCAAGTGAAAGTAAAAGGCTTGTGGGTTTTAGTTTGCTACAAATGGGCCATAACTAACTCAATAGTGTCACATGGCTATTATAGTTGCAAATGCATTCTTAGACCGTAAATAAGAATGATGAAAATAGTTACCATTTCAGTACTTAACGTGTACCAGGCTCCATGCTTAGCATATCCCTGTTTTGCTATAAGGTAAGTGATATTACTATCATCATAACTACCTTCTGCATGGGGAAAGTTTCCAAGAGATGTGAGCTGGCTAAAGACAGGTAGCTAGAAATTGAGGAGCTGGGTTTGAACTGAGACCTGTCCGCCCCACGGAGAGATGGTCCCTCCAGTGCTTGGTTCAGACCTTGGTACGGTAACTAACACAGGAACATCCAGAGGAGTGAGATTAATGGGTGGGGATGGGGTGGGGAGGCTTTTGAACCCACACCGTATGAAGACTCTTTGAAGGATATAAAGATGTTTAGCTTGGAGAAGAAAAACTTAGGAGGTTCATAATAAGTATCTTAAAATACTCGAAGGCATGGCCGGCATTGGCCAAGAACGAAATATTTTGTGAACTCCAGAGAGCAGTGGCTGGAAGTTTCCATGAGGCAGATTCTAACTTGTTGAAAGGATATTTTAACAATTAAGAGCTGTACGAAAAACAGACTGGTCTGCCTTAAGACTATTTAGAAGAGTTTAGGCAGCATTGTATAAACTCTTGGCGGTTGTACGGTCCTTCCTCTGTAGGGTGAGAGGATGACCTAAATGACCTCTAAAAGGACCTTTCTACCTTAGCACAGTGATTAATCTTACAGTTCCCCCATATTAATGCTCTAACGGCCACAGCCCATGTGATTGGTCCCTCTCCAAGCTCTTCCCTCCAACCCCTTTTTACTCTCATACTTAACTTTGGGTATATGTGTCTCTCTCCCAAGACTTAAAATTCTTTTCAGGGTAAAGAACAGAGCTTTGCACATGGTAGGCACCCAAATATTTGTTTCGATTTAGCAATATGAAGTTTCTCTTTTGTTACACATTGTCGTATTTGTCTTGGAAGTAGATTGTAAGCCATTTGAAGTCAGGGATTGTGGTTAATATTTACTTTTATTCTCATATAGCACCCAGTAGGTGCTTGCTAAACACTGCTTTAATTTGGGAAAAACCAGAAGTGGACCTTTGGCCCAAGAGATATGAACAGAGGAATGAGAGCAAAGATGAAAGGAGGAAAAGGTCAAGGAATAGCACTGTTTCCTATGAAAGTGTAAACTTTCTACCTGCAGTGAGAGAATGCTCAGGAAGCTTTTTCACAGGCAACCTGGATATACTAAGATCAATTAAAATCAAAGCACTGTAAAATAGAAACTAGAAATAGTAAAGGCGTTGAGCATGTTTCAATTAACAATATAAATATTAACAGAAAGCCTTGGTATCAACATAGTCGGTAGAAAGAGGGGCTTAGTCAGCACACAACTATTAGTCACAGTGAGAAGATACATAATTCTGAAATGCAGGGCTCTTCTGACAGATCAAACATGTGGAAGGACATCTCCACAGTCACGCAGTGATATTTATAGAGCATCTGTAGGTCAGCTGGTATTACTTGGGCGTATTAGGTGTACATGTGCTTAAAGTTCTTCTTGAGATAATGTAATTCTGCTTTTCCCCTTTCTTTTTCCTTCATCCTCTCTACGCAGGCCCTCTCAAAGCTTGTGAGCGCTGCCAGTGGGGCCGACGGGAACGCGCTTGGGGGCTGTGTCATGGTACCCTTCACTTCTCTCCTGGCCCTCTCCCCCTCGCATGTTAACGTGAGGCTTCTTTCGCCAAATGACGCCACCAAGGTTTCTACAGCACCCGGTCATTTACATCCCAACAAACAACAGCAACGAAACCCGGCCGGCCTCCGCTAGGTCCGCGGTTTGACTACCCTCTCTACCTGCCCCTTCCAGGTGTTCGCCTACTCCTACAGCTCCGGCCCAGCAACCTGCCAGTCAGAGAGACCTTACTTCGGGAACGCCGCCCAATCAGGGTGCGCTCACCTGCGGAAGGTGAGGAACCGGTCTCTTTTCGCGACAGTTTTCCGGCCAATCAGAGGCGCCTCGGGCTCGGACGGGCGCCCCGCCTCCCGGGAGTGGTGGGCGGAGGGGCACCTGGCGGCGGTGAGTCACTCAGCCGAGCGGCGGCTGCCTCCTCCAATCGGAACGCGCAGGGCCGGGGCGCCGGCCAATCGGGCGCGGAGGGCGGGCCAGCGGGCTCAACCTGGCGGTGCGAGCACTGTCCGCGCGGCTGTGCGCGAAGCTGGGTCTGTCCCCGGACTGCGGCGGCCGCTCTCGCGCCGGGATCCTGATCGCGATGGGGACAAAGGCGAGAGTCGGGAGGAAACGGTTGCTTCTGTTCACTGCGGTGGCCCTGTGTAAGTTCCCGGAGTCGCGGGAGGAGTCGGTGCGTCGGGACAGAGGCTGGAGCGAGGCGCCCGCGCGCCCCTCCCGCGGAGGGGAGGAGTTCGGGTCCCCCCCCCGCGCCCTCGGGCCCCTCCGCTCCCCTC